CTGGTTGATAAATCTGGAGTCTAACCAGGAGAGGGCACCATCCCCTGCCCAGCTGGCCGATAGTTGTTCTGTGGCTAAGCTAAGTCACGTCTCTTTGAGACCCCATGGACTGCAGCACGCCAGGCTTCCCTGTCCTCCACTGTCTCCCGGAGTTTGCTCAAGATCATGTTCATTGAGTTGGTGATGCCATCCAGCCATCTCGTCCTCTGCCCTCCTCTTCTCCTTTTGCCTGATGCTAAAGCTGAAGCTCCAGTCCTTTTACCTCCTGATGTGAAGAGCTGACTCATTGGAAAAGACCCTGATGCTGGGAAAGGTTGAAGGCAAAAGGCTGCTGATAGCTTCTGACAACTCAGTGCTCACACTCCTTCCCCCCACAGCCCCTCACTGCACACCCCCAGCCTGCTCAAGGCGGGGAGAAGCCGGCTGGCTCTGGTCTCGGGCCCTGCCTGCTTCCCGCCTGGAGAGCAGCACGGGGCACCTGCCCCCTCCTCCTGTGAAGAGCGTCCTAAGTGCGGCCGCAGCTCGGCCAGGCCCGCCCCGCCCCTCCCGCTCCTCCAGCCCACGTGCGGCCGTCTCCCCCAGGAAGGGTGCTGTCCCGGGAGCTTCAGTGGCAGTGGCCCTTCCAGGGGCCTGGAGTGGACGGGTGGCTCGTCCACGCCTCCCACCCCCGGTGTGACGGCGGGGCCAGGGCCAGGCCCAGGGCCCGGAGGATGACTGCGCCTCCACCCATCCAGGCTCTGCCATCAGTCCTAACTTGTGCCTTACTTGCCTTCCCCCAGCTGCTCCACAGGCGAGCAGAGGGCCTGGGGCAGAGGGTCACCAAGGAGGAGGTTGAGGGTCCCGCCTGGCTCCTCACTGCCACGACGGGGCAACCTCTACCACATCGAGCTCGTTGGGTAAACTATTAAAACAGCTTGCTTTCACAAAACCTTTTTATTTGCAAATAATTACACCTTCACGTGAGGTCTCGCTCAGTGCAGAGAGGTCCCTGGTACACCTCGCCGTCTCCTGCAGTGTCTGTCCCGCTGCGATGCGCGAACGCCGTGACCAGGAGACCCTGGTCGTGCGGAGTCCTCTCTCCCGGCTGAGGCTCCCTGTGGGCCGCGGCGCCCCATGGCTACAAGCCCCTCTGTCCTGCTTCCTTAGGAGCCACGTGCCCCCATTGTCTCTCACCGACAGCTGCTAACTGAAGCAACTGAGTTTTGAAAGATGGACAAGCTGTTTTCCCAGAATGCCGGGCTTTCCAGTAAACACAAGGTGCTGTGATCCAGCCCGGGCCTGGCGGGTGTGCTGTCTGACCAGCGAATGTGGTGGGAGCAGCGCTGGGTGTCCCAGGTCTGCGTCCGTCCAGGGGCTGCAGCCTGCTGGCCCTGCGGAAACGAGAGCCCACAGGCTGAGCTGAATCCAATCTGGGCTGCTCAGGAATCTCCCTGTGCTGCATCCAGCTCTTTCCTAGGGTTGCAGGGGAGCCTGGGAAGATCTAGTGGATCAGTCACCTTCAGGGCTGGTCCAGAAGCTGTCCCTTGAACCAGCTTTCCTGGGGCGGGGGTGGTGGGCTGTGAGAAACCATGACAAAACCCTCCTCCAGATGCCACCGTTTCCCTGGTAACTGGTTGTGCAGGGAGGAGTCCTGAGGGCATGGCTGGAACTACCAGCAGAGCTGTGTGTGGAAGACCTGCAGAGACCCCGAGATGACCCCTAGAGAGGAAGGGGAGGAAGAAGCGAGGTCTCTGGGTCAGGGGCAGACAGGCCTAGGTGCTGAGCAGTAGGGGCCTTGTGCTGGGGAGACCTCCTGAGCCCAGGAAGGTCGCAGCTGGGATGGCAGGAAGCGGTGGGCTCCCCCATGGGGGGAGTGGGCAGTGGGACCTGGAAAGCCCTAGGGAGGGGCTGCAGAGAGCGCTGGGCAGGTCCCGATGGAGCGGTCCGGGGCAGGCCGGGCCTCCTGTGCCTGGCTTGCCGAGGGGAACAGCTCACAGCAAGATGCAGCGCTCTCTGCCGCAGCCTGAAGACTATGGAGTCTGTTGACCTCAAGAATAAGCACAGTTATTTTAGCAGCAAAAGTGGACTTTGGAACATCACAGGAACTGCAATTTGGGTCACGCAGGCTATAGCAAAAGACCTAGGTAAGTCCAACAAACAAAGGAGAGGAATGGTTACTTTATAGAGAAAAGTGAGGAAGTCGAGAGTTTTTTTTTTTTTTTAATGAACTCTTCCTGGGAAAGACTGTGCGTTCAGGGTGAGGATAGTTTCTCGCCGGCTGAGTTGTTGAGGTAGGTGACTTCCTCTAGAAGAAGCGATGCGCTTGTCCGGTGGGGGCCTGTGATGGATGGTTCTTTCCTGTTATGCTTCTTCCATTGTACTTGGTAACTGGCTGTTGACCTGGAACAAGAAATCAGCCAGTTACATTACCAGCAACTTGGGTTTATTCTGGAACAGTTAAGAACCGGAATCCAAGACAAACAAACTAAGGTGGCCTTCCAGCAAGTGCTGAGAACAAAAGAAACCCTTTCGTAGATGAGAAAGGGGCCTGTTCTAAACAAAGGGTCCCTTGGAGGAAACCGGGAGCCGGAAGTGTGGCGGCTTTTTATTTGCTGCACTGTCTCTCATTGGCTGAATGGTTCCCGGGCGGGGTGGGGGGAATCTCCCTCAGCCTGGGGCTAGGTTAGCCCCTTTCTGTGGGGTCTGCAATTGAGGCTGCGCCGCAGAGCGAGCGAGCTCCCGCTCCTGGCCTCCTGAGTGCGCCTCCCTGAGGCCACCCTTGACTGATTTTCACTCACTGAGGGCTCCCTTTACTAATTTTAATAAGTCCAGTGGACTTCGCTTGTGGCTCAGATCGCAAAAAGAATCCGCCTGCAACGCGGGAGACCCGGATTCGACTCCCGGGTCGGGAAGATCCCCTGGAAAAGGGAACGCTACCGACTCCAGTATCCTGGCCTGTAGAATCCCATGTACTATACCGACTCTGGGTCTCAAAGAGTCGGGCACGACTGAGCGACTTTCAGACGTATAGGTCCAATGGCTTTCCTGGTGAGGGCAGAAAATCTGCCTGCAGTGCAGGAGGCCCGGGTTGGATCCCTGAATCAGTAAGATCCCCCGGAGAAGGGCATAGAATCCACTCCAGTATTCTTGCCTGCAAAATTCCAGGGACAGAGGAGCCCACAGCCTGGTGGGCTACAGTCATGGGGTCGCAGAGTTGGATACGACTGAGTGGCGTGCGCCCTGACGCGCGCGCGCACACACTCGATGAAAACCCCGAGGGCCCACCTGACTTTGCAGCCCTCTGACCTCACTGAGCCCAGCCCCACCCCAAGGCTCCGGGAAGACACCCGGGTCAAGTCCACCCCGAGACTCAGGGCGCCCCGCGCACGTGGCGGAGCCGCCCGGGAAGGCTCGGTCCCCACAGGCCTTCGCGGGAGAGCCGGGCGGGGACCGGCTTGACCAGAGCTGGATCCTCGTCCGCGGGGCAGAGCCGGGTAACGGTCGGGCGGGCTTCTGCGCTCGCGCCGTACCTGGCAACCAACGCCGCCCGACCCCGAGGCGCCAGCGCCGCGTCGCCGGCATGCCCCCGCGGCCCGCACCGCCCGGGGGCGCCTTGGCGCTGAGCCCCGGCTGGAGACCGGACGGCAGCGGAGCCCGGGGCCCCTGCTGGCCGTGGCGGGTGAGCGTCCGCCGGCGCCGGGCTCAAGCCTGAGGGGCCGGGAGGGCACGGAGCGCGGCGTGAGACAGCCTCCGCGGGTGGGACAGCTGCGACCCGGCCTCGAACACGGCCCCGGAAGCCGCGCCAGCAGACGCCGGGTGCGGGGGTCGCGGTGGCGCGGCGGAGGCCCAGTCAGAGGCTCGGCCCGCCCTCCGCGCGCAAGACCCTGCCAGAGCCCGACCTGGGCGCCGACCCCTAACGTGTGGCCCCCGGCCCCGCTAGTCCCCGCGGGGCCTGCGCTAGGGCCCGCTGTATTGACCAGTGTCTCTAGAGGTCTCTGGCGCAAGGGGCTCGGATGGGGACCCCCAGACGGTAGCAGCGGCCCGTCTGAGGCCCCCAGACGGTAGCAGCGGCCCGTCTGAGACCCCTTGCGCCTCTGTCTCTCGAAGGAATCGCCCACCCTTGACTCTTGAAGGTCACACAGAACTGACTCTGGCGCTTCACCGACACCCGCAGCATTGAGTGTGTGTGTGTGTTCCTAGGAAGGAGTCCTCGGTGGGATTTCATTTATCTGATGAGACTGGTGGTTTGGTCAGGGAGCATTCTTTTCTGGCCGGACATCTACTTGCTAATATTGGAGAGTCTGTCTGCTTTCTCAGGTTTCAGTGTTGTCTGTCACTCCCTCCTCAAGCTGGCCTCTTGAGCTAAGACATTCAGAAACCCATTTCCTTTGGATAAACTTTGTCCCATCATCGTTTAAAACTTTATAACAACTTCTTGCTCTGACTCAGGCATAGGTCCCCAGAGGTGCTTTTCTTTTACTTCTGCCAGGAATCAGGAGGTTTTTGTCCAGCTACATCAGGAAACCAAAAGGAAAAACACACACACACGAAACTAATGTGACCTCCCTCACCTTAATTCTGTGACTTCTGACTTTCATGGCCTCATGAAAGTGAAAGGAAAACAAAACTCATGTCTCACACCAGACAGACCTTGTGGTTTTTAAGCCCTTCACATCACTGATCCAGAACCTAAGTTGTGAACCTGATCTCACTTCAATAAAATATGCCTGCTGGGGTCAATGTCTTCCTATTACACGGCCTGATGGGTCAGGAGTATCCAGGAGCCACTACCATAGTCCCTTTATCCTCTTTAGTTTGTTGTGGACCTGCCTTTCCTGAGGTGTTTTTTTTTTTTTTTTACTGAGTCAGGCAGCACCCAGGAGCTTAGTTCCCCAACCAGAGATCAAACTGGGCCCCACGCAGTGGAAGCTCGGAGTCCGAACCACTGGACTGCCAAGGATTGCCCAGTTGGGCCTTTAAAAAGTTGTTTTTCACAGGAGGCCTTTAATGCCAAGCAAGGAACTTGTACCTATGGAGAGGTGGGGGCCTGCGCCCAGCTAGTGGGCTCAGGGCCGAGGGAAGGTGGGAGGGGGCTACTGCCAGCACACGCAGCGGCCAGGCCTTCTCCAACCCCGTGCCAGGGCCAGAAAGGTCTCCCCATGGGCTTCATTCCAAGTGCATAGGTGCGGGGTGTCGGCTGCAGTGCCGCTCCAGCCTGCAGCCCCTGCTTGGGGGAAACGTCCCCGGTTCAGAAGCATCAGAGCCCCACGCTGGGCCTCGGAAATTGCTCCTCGTCCTCCTGGAGTCTGACATGGAAGGAGAGATTGCTCGTTGTGCCCCTTTTAGTAAAATAGCCATTGTCTGTCCCTCAGAAATGGAAGCAGCTGTCGAGGTTACAGCGGACGGTGGGCCTCTTCCTTCTGGTGGTCCTGATGCTCTTTGGCCTCCGGTTCTATGTCCACGTGGACGATGAGTGGACAGGTACCAGCTGCGTGATCCTCGGGGGTCCTGAGGGCTGACTAAGGGGTGGCACAGCGATCTGGCAGCGGCGGGAGGTGTACACTTCAACGCATTGGCAGGAAGCGAGATGAGGAGATGCCTAGAATGTTCCCAGTCCCCCGCCATAAGGTGGCTGTTAATCTGCCGTGTGTGACTGTTTCCCAGACGTCTGCTATGAGAAGCGGCGTGTGGTCCCGGCCGTCTCGCACCGAGATCCAGGTCTGAGGGTACACGCGGAGTCTGCACGCACTGCGCTGCAGGCACTTCCTGGCGTGCACTGCTGTGCTGGGAGGCAAGCGCAGGTGCTGGGAGGAGGGGCAGCTCCCTCCTGGCTTCTCGGAGGAGGAAAGCTGCAGAGCCCCCGCGACTTGCTACGGTTAACGGCCTGTGTGCCATCGTGGGCCCTCCTTGAAGTGGAAAAAAGAAAAGCCAAGTGTTTGGGTTGTGGGCGGGGATAAAGACAGAAGCTGCCAGGAGATATGGGCAGGGTTTGCTTCCATGTGACCACTCTGGAATTCCTTGACCTGCCCGTTTTGGAGGTCCCAGCCTGTCCTTTTCCAGGAGTGCTGGCTGTGTAGGTGCTGTTTCCGGCACCCTTTGGCTCTCCTCTGGGCCTTGAGGCGTATCTGAGATAAAATAGACTCTCCTGTTTAGCTGTGGACAGCAGGTCGGCGGCAGCATGGCAGGTGAGACCAGCAAATCCTCCCGTCTTGCCAGCTCCTCGGAAAGCAGCTGAGAACCCAGAGACCGTGGCGGGGCTGTCACCTCAGGTACTTGGAGTAAACTCAGCGTGGAGTCGTAACTGGGGTCCAGGCCAGAAGTGCTTCAGCACAGCGTGGACTGTTTGAGAGGGACTGGGAAGAGTTCTGCTTCCTGCCCTGTGTCTGAGGTTTTAACCTGAACCTCCTTGCTCTGGGCTGGTGGGACGGAGGAGACGTGGGGAGAGGAGGAGGGCCGTTCTGCCCTCCGTCCTCTGCCCGTGTGGCGCTCCGGGTCCTTGGGAGGTGAGACAGACCGAGCCTTTTCTCTGGGAGCTACTGGCCGGGGGTGGTCAGGTGGGGGCTCCACTCTGGACCTGCCCAGATGGAGGTGCTGGGGCCTCAGCATCACAGTGGGGTCAGCAAGGAGGACTGGGAGTTGGCAGGTGCGTGCTGCCTGCTGTCCACAAAGCGTGGGGCGGGGTGAGGCCTCGTCCTGGGGGCCCGGAGCCGTCCAGGGTGGGAGGCGTGGGCGGGGGAGCACGTGGAGCCTAGAGGGTGATGGGGTCAGCGAGAGCCGGGGCGAGTCCCCCCCCACCGCCACCAAGGGAGCCGGCCTTTGAGAGCCCGGGATGCTCCGTGCGGGGACACACTCCCGCGGGCTGGGGTTGGTGTCCAGGAGGGGCCTGGAAATGAAGGCGTGAACATCCACGTCTCCTGTGGAGCGAGTCTTGGGGCCCCTGCGCATCCTGAGGCCGCCGGCACCTCCTCTCTGGGTCCGATGCCGGCACTCGTCCCCGAGACCTGCTTCATCCGTGGGGCTGTGTTTTGGCCGCACCTGCTCTCGTGACCCGGGGGCCCGGCTCGGTGGGGTTTCAATCTTGGAAGGGGGGTGTCTTCTCGGATCCTCCTCCAAGGTGTCCATGGGTGCTGTAGCCAGAGGCTTTTCCATTCACGAGTCTGTCCTTGTGAGCTGGAGGAGTCGCTGTCACAGCCCCTGTTGGGCGGCTGGAGCCAGGACGAGTGCGCCCTCCCACAGCGCTTTGCCACTGACCGGCTGCCTCTGCCGCAGCTTTCCGAGGCTGAGGTGGGAGTCCCGGGCGCAGGCCTGGGCAGGGTCCTCTGTGGCTCCATCGACGGGGATGGGGTGGCTCACCCCTGCCCTGCTACCCTTAGGGTCTGACTCCCAGACACGCTCTGGCCAGGGGCTTAACCAACCCTCCAGGGCTACGCTCGCCCGTTGGCAGAGCCTCCGTCAGGTAGTCAGAGCCAGGAGCTGCTGAGAAAGGGGCCCCTCCTGAAGCTGCGCATCGTAGGAAAAATGGAAATCATTTCCTCTAGGAAACTGCAGCTGCTCGGCCAGTCCACAGCGCTCCCTGTGTGGTTCCAGGTCTGACTGGGGAGGGGGAGCGTCCTAGAAGCAGGATGGAATCACTGCACAAGTGACCCTTGTCTCTGTCCAGAAGCCCCAAAGGCATTTCCGACGAGGACCCCCCAACCTGCAGATGAGAGCGCCCGATGGAGACGCCCAGGAGAGGAGGCAGGCCCAGGCCCAGAGGAGGGCAGAGGTGGTGGGAGAGGCTGGCTGGGGATCGGAGGCACAGAGAGACGGCCTCAGGTACTGGGAGCTTCAGAGATGGTCTGAACGTGGGAAACCCAGAGGCGTCTTTTGGTGGCTTTTCCCCTGAAAAACAAAGAGAACCAGCCTGACGCCTGCGGATAACTTTCCTTTGTTGCCGACTGTGCCCCTGGGCGGCAGGGTCAGTGCCTGCTCACTTGAGGCTCCTCGGGTAGAGTGGGAGGGAGAGCAATCCTCCTTTGCTCTGAGTCTGATTCTCTTCCTCCAGCTGGAGGGGAGCAGGGACCAAGGCGGAGCAGGGTGCCAGACTCCCTCCCAAGAAGGCAGAGGTCCCCCGCTGGCCTTTTCAGCAGCAGGCCCTGACGACTCAGGCCAGTCAAGGTAAGGGCTGCCTGCGCCTTCCAGGCCTCAGCTGGTGTTTGTTCTGAGGGGCGCAGTGTTGGGCACGCTGGAGAGTTGGGCTGGCCGTGCAGCTCCCATCATCCCGGAGCACGGGTACCAGGGGTCCTGGGACTCAGGGACTCTTCAGAGCCTTGGTGACACCAGCCCCTCTGCGGCTGTCTCCCCGGGTCCAGTGCTACAGCTGCAGAATTAACATGCGCAGGAGGCCGGTCTCTTCACCCGTGTCCCGGTGATGGAGGCCTGGGTGGTGCTGTGCACGTCTATCCTTCGGGGATCCCCCCAGGCGAAGTAGCCCTGTGTGTACACGTGGTTCCCTCACATGCGGCAAGAACCACCTCGAATGTGCTCTGAGCCCCGGGAGGGGTCTGATCAGCCTTGGGGTGTCAGCTCCCTGTTTTCTCCACCTCGGAAGCACCCTCAGGTGATTGGGCAGAACACAGGCACCACCAGACGAGACCTTCTTGTCTGGGTCACCAGCGCCTGGCACGTTTGATGTCCACAAACCAGACTGCACACTCAGGCTTACTGGTTCCTCTGCTTCCGCTCCTTCGCTGTTTCCTGGAGGGTGGTCCCTGCTGGGACCTGGCGGAGGCTGACGAGCCTGGGCTGGGTGCAGTTTCCGCTTGGGCCTTCACTGCGGCCTAAGGTGCCCCCGCAGCAGCCTCACTCACTGTGGGGCCACAGGGCAGCTCTGTCTGGGTGCCCATGCCCGGCGTTCCTCCTGCCAGCCTCCCAGAACGAGCGCCAGAAGGCCGTGGTGGATGCCTTCCTCCACGCGTGGGCTGGATACCGCAAGTTCGCCTGGGGCCACGACGAGCTGAAGCCCCTGACCAGGTCCTTCAGCGAGTGGTTCGGCCTCGGCCTCACGCTGATCGACGCCCTGGACACCATGTGGATTCTGGGGCTAAAGAAAGGTACCTGCTCGTCCCTGCGGTGGGCTCGAACTCGCCAGGCGTGACCCTCGGGCCCGAGTGAGCCTGGTCTGGGAGGTGACCACACACCGCGTCCTGCTGAGCTCTGCTTCCCCCTGTCCCGGCTGCCAGCGTGGCTGTGCTGGCCGCGGGCAGTTCTCCGTCCTCACACGTCCGTGTGCCTTGCGCCTCCTGCAGGGCGCCGAGTGTGGCGGAGGGCGGAGTGCAGGGATGTTTGCAGCCCGTGTTTCTGTTGCGGTCAGGGGGCCCTGTGGTGGGAGGTGACACGTGCGCTGCCGCAGCGGCTGGCAGCGCCCTGAGCCTCCCTCTCAGTCCTTGTCGGTGCAGACAGGGTGAGCCAGGTGACCTGCCCCAGATGTTTCTGAGCTGGCGCGCTCACGGCCCTGTCCGTCTTCCAATCGCACTGCAGCCTCCACCACTCACTGTCTTGGGCTCCTCGGTCGTGTGGCTTTGACGTCGAGTGCTTGTGCTCACGCTGCACGGCCTTCCCCCAGCTGCCCTCTGGGCCCGTGTTTCCTGTGCGGTTGGAGGACTCCTGGGCTCCCCCTCTTGCATGAGGAGGTGATGCCGAAACCCTGCAGGGGATGTGCGTAGCCCCGGAGGGAGCGGCCAGGGAAATGCTGGGCTGTTAATTTGTTCTTGTGCCTCTGCTGTTCCACGTGGTAGAATTTCAAGAAGCCAGGAAGTGGGTGTCCAGGAGGTTATTGTTTCAGAAAGATGTGGACGTCAACCTGTTTGAGAGCACAATCCGGATCCTGGGGGGGCTGCTGAGTGCATTCCACCTGTCTGGGGACGTCCTCTTCCTGACGAAGGCTGTGAGTGTCCCGGCCTCAGGGCTGCTCGCCTCCGGGGGGGCTGGGGTCTCAAGTGCTCAGCAGTCAGTGATTTTCTCCGGGATTGGGCTGCGGCAGACGTTTATTTCCAGTTCTGCCTCCTCCCGCTCTTGAGTCTGCTTCCGAGCACATGGGTGGTTGAAGTAGTGTTGTGTCAGCCTGCTGCCTGCCCGTGAGGTCATTCTGAACTGATTGAGTCCACCTCGGGATTTGTAGCTGGCAGGGTTAAGGTCAGGTGAAGCCAGCATACTTGGGTCTGTCCGCTGAATTACATGAAAATGGGTGTTGGGTTTACTGTCGTGTCATGGAACAAGGCCGCTGAGCAGCAGGAATCGTTGACTCATCGCTGTGTTGTGTATCAGGAGGATTTTGGAAATCGGTTAATGCCTGCCTTCCGAACACCCTCTAAGATTCCGTACTCCTTTGTAAACATCGGCACCGGAGTTGCTCACCCACCCGGATGGACCTCTGATAGCACGGTGGCTGAGGTGACGAGCATTCAGCTGGAGTTCCGAGAGCTCTCTCGTCTCACGGGGGATAAGAAATTTAAGGTATGGAGGGGTTTCTGCTTCCGGCTGGTGCGGGTTTTCTGCGGGGCCATCTCTGGCTCTTGGAGGCACGTGCAGGTCTGTGTGGTCATGGGTCCTGGGCCATGAGAGTCATGTCGGTTTTGGTTCTTGTCCCACGTTCTCCTGGAGAATCACGTTTTCTGGTGATACCAGAGGTGCAGACAGGAGACGTCCTGACCGGAGGCCGAGTCCTCTGCCTGGCCCGCCCCCGTGCAGTCCCGTGTCCTCAGGGCCCGACAGCTGCCGGCTTGTCCTGCCGCGCTCGGCGTGGCCTGGAGTCCACTTGCCGTTGTCCTGGCCCTCCTGCAGTGGCGAGGCCCTCGTGCTCTGTTGTGGCTGAGTGCCACGGGGTGTGTTGGAGCTCTGGGCTTTGTAGTCAGATCAGTGTAGGTGACGTGCTTGTCCCATTGTGGTGCCCTGACTGGGCCCTGCACACAAGTGTCTTGGGTGGGCAGCTGGGGTGGTGTGTGGCATCGCTCTTGGTATGGGGGAGTGGGGCAATGCTGACCCCTGAGTCTTCCTCCCAGGGAAAAAGTCCTAATTTGAAGACCCGGACCAGAAAAAGGCCTCAGGTGTGTCAGGGACTGCTGTGGTCACAGCAGTCTGCAAGGCCGTGAGCTCCTATTCATTACGGGCTTCCTTGGTGTCCAAATGCCTCTCTCAAGTGTTCCGGGGACCCTGCCATCTGAGCCCAGAGGACAGACAGCACCTGAGTGGGTGGGACCCACACTAGTCCTCTTGACTTTCATTACCCACCCCACTCTGCCTTGTAGAGCAGCTTGGCACAGTGAGAGGCTTCAGCTAATGTAGTTCCTGCTGCAATCACCATAGCCCTTCCGAGCTGAAACTGGAGAAACTGAGGCAGGAAGGGTGCTGGTTACTTGTGCAAGATCAGAGGTAGTGGGAGATGGGGGATTCAGACCCACAGGATCTACCCTTGAGTCTTTTTTCTTCTATTTTTTATCCATATCAGTATTTAATATTAAATTGAATGTAAAGTGAATACCAAATCTGAAGGTGCTCTACCTGTCATCGCTTTCTTAAAACGCACACACAGCACGGAATAGGGCACAACGACTGCGCTCTGTGAACAGCCGTGTGGCCTCAGCACGTTCAGACCGTGGCGTAGCGACCATCACCGCCACCTCCCCAAACTGACCCCTGTCCTCAGCTAGACAGTAACTCCCCACTCTCCCAGGACACTGGAGAGTGTCCTGGGACACTCTCTCTGGACACTAACATCTACCTTCTGTCTCCATGAAAAATACTTTCATTTTTAAAAATTTCGCCTCTTTCTTTTCTTATCGTGGTAAGAAAATCACAGAACATAGAACTTGCCACCGCAAAACCATCTTGAAGCATCCAGTTCATAAGTGTTCCGTCTGCTCAGACAGCTGTGACATGGATCCCCGTAACTTTCTCATCTGACGCGCAGAAGTTCTGCACGCGTTACTCACTGACGCGTCTCATTCAGTTTTCTGTTTGCACGAAGCGTGCTGCGGAAGGTCTGTCACACAGGTGGGGCCAACAGCGTCTCTCCTCATTTGATGCAGCGTAGTGTCCGCAGGGTTCACCCACAGAGTGACGTCAGAGTTTCCTTCCCTTTGAAGACTGAGTAATACTCCATCATACGGAGGGACCACACTTTGCTTTTCCATCCATCCATCAGCAGACACTGGTTTGCTTCCACACTGTGGCCACAGTGAGTGGTGCAGTTCTGAACATGGCTGGAATACCAGCCTGTTAGATATAATCCCTAGAACTGAAATTATGAGAGCATGAGGCCACCAGTGCTCAGTGTTTCTGAGGAAACGCCATGCCATTGTCCCAAGAAGCCGTACCGGTCTGGATTTCCACCAGCAGCGCACAAGTGTTTCAATTTCTACACATCCTTGCACCACCTGTTTTCTGTTTTTTGTTTTCGTAGTAGCCACTGAGGTGAGCGTGAGGTCATACCTGATTCTCATGGTATCTGCTTCCATTTCATTAAAGATCAGTGATGTAAGCATTTTCTCATATGCTTATTTGTCTGTCGTCTTTGGCAAACTGTCTATGAAAATCCTCGGCCCTCATGTGAATCAGGTTGTTGGGATTTTTGTTGTTGTGTTGTAGGAATTCTCTATACATTCTGGACAGTAATCCTGAATCAGATTTGTGCATGCAAATATTTTTCTCTCATCTGTAGTTTGCATGTTTCCCGCGTGGATGGTGTCCTTAGATGGACAAGAGATTTTCATTCTCAAGGAGTCAGTCTCTGTTTTGCCGCCTGCGAAGCAGGTCTTCTGTTCCAGTCACTGGATGAAGTGTCAGGTGCCGCCCGAGGTCCGGGAACCCTGCTAACAATGGGGGGACACACACCGTTCACGTGAGGTCCCCGCACCCGAGGGCAGTTCTGGCTGGAATGAGCCACTTGCTCATAAGGGTCACTTGCAAACACACGTATTGCCATGTCTCGGCGGTTGTGAGACCGCAGAGGAGTAAAGCAGCTCACTCCAGGGAAGTGTGCACACTGATGGGCGTGTGACTGTTGGGCCCGGAGGACAGCGAGGAAGCGTGCACGGAGCCTCGGGCACAGACACACGTGCCGCCCTGGCTCGACCGGAGCCCGGGTGGGATGGGTCTTGAAGGGAATAGATGTTTCCTGTTGGCTGAGGACTTTGGGGCAGTTATCATGAGCAGCAACCTTGGGCTGGGAAACAGATGTGCCTGCCAGCCCAGCAGGAAGTGGGAGCGCAGGGTAATCTTCAAGAGGAGATGACAGGCCCACAGCTGTGGCCTCAGACACTGTCCCAGGTGGATGCTGGGAAGTGTCTCGAGGACGGGTTCAGTCCCGCGGTCGGCCATCCTGGCGCTGTGTCGGAGGGCAGCCCCCCTGCCCAGCCCATCTGCTCACCACCCCCTGTCATCTGCCCCAGGAGGCCGCAGAGGAGGTGACGAGGCGCGTGCACGCCCTGCGCGGGAAGCTGGACGGGCTGGTGCCCATGTTCATCAACACCAACAGCGGCAGCTTCACCCACCTGGGCGTGTTCACCCTGGGCGCCAGGGCCGACAGCTACTACGAGTACCTGCTGAAGCAGTGGATCCAGGGCGGGAAGAAGGAGAGCCAGTGAGGCCTGTTTCTCTGCCTTTGGGGTGGCCCCCGGGGCTCGGGGTGGCGGGGCCCTCTGCGGGGAAGCTGTTTCTGTCCATCCGTGTGCCGAGCCAGGACCGGCCACGGCGCACGGCTCCTCGCTGGGCAGCAGGGTCTTCCTTGGAGTTGTGGCTGCTTGGTCACTGGCTTCAGCGGGAGGCAGCCGGGGAGATGTGGGCCTCCTTGTGCTCAGGGCTTGGACACTGAACACGCAGGCATTCCCAGGGAGCAGCCTTGTCCAATTATAAAACAGGGATAAACCCCCGTNCAGATGGCCGACAGACACAACCTGCTGCGGCCCGAGACCGTGGAGAGCCTGTTCTACCTGTACCGCCTCACGGGCGACCGCAAGTACCAGGACTGGGGCTGGGAGATCCTGCATAGCTTCAACACCTACACGCGGGTGAGCCCCCCGAGTGTTCCCGGGCCTCAGTGTCGCCTCCCAGGGGCTGCACGGGGAGGCCCTGCCCTGCCGTGAGGGCCCGGGGGGTCGGGGCGTCCGTGTGTCCTGTCTGGGGGACAGCTGTGCCGGGAGGGTCCCTGCAGTGGCTTGAGGCACACAGAACGTGTCTCTCCTGGGTCTTCTGTGCGGCTTGGGCAGCGTGTTTCCACCCAGCGGGTGGGTGACCTCTGGGCCGCTGTGCCCCAGGCCGGGGGCCACAACCAGCTCCATCCCCTGCTGTGCCCAGGGCCCACTGTTCACCCTGGTAGGGCTGAGACTTGACCTCCGCCCTGTGGCCCCTGAGGTGGACTCTACACCCCTCGGGTGGCCTTGGGGCCTTTGTGAGGCTTGCACAGGTTTTAGAGGTGGCACTTGGCATCTGATCACTGAAGGGAACCATGGCTGACCTCCAGGGTGGCCATTCCCCCTGTTGGCTTTGGTGTCGTCCCCGCCCCAGACCCTGCCCTGGGGGCCGTGTGTTCTGGGGCGGGCCAGGGGCCGGGGTGGGTGGGGGGCGGCACCTCTGGCTGGCAGCCCTCCAGAGGGCTGAGCCAGCATTGTGATGCTGCGGCCTCGGCTCTCGAGCAGGTCCCCTCGGGCGGCTATTCTTCCATCAGCAACGTCCAGGACCCCCGCCACCCCCAGCCCAGGGATAAGATGGAGAGCTTCTTTCTGGGGGAGACGCTCAAATACCTGTATCTGCTCTTCTCCGACGACCCCGACCTGCTGAGCCTGGACACCTACGTGTTCAACACAGAGGCTCACCCCCTGCCCATCTGGGCCCCCTCCTAGGGCGGGACGGCTCTCGAGTAGGCGCTGCCCAGGAGGCTGACGTGTGCTGTCCGCAAGGATGCCTGTCGGCAAGACCCGGGCCCTGACCTTGGCTGCTTGGTGTCCCCCCAGCTGGCGGCACGTGGTCCGGGCCTGGCTGGTGACAGAGGCCAGCGGGCCATAGGGCCGGGATGTTTCGGGGCCTCGTAGCTGCTCGGGGTGGCCACTGGGCATCCGGTGCTCTGCCGCTGGTTCTGTGCTCCTCGCCTGGTTCCTGTTGGATCACCGTTTGGAACACGTTGGAATAAATGGGCGGTGTGATTCTGGGGATCCTGTCCACTCAGCAAGTTTCTTCCTTCTTCCTAGAAAATCAAATCATGACTACATTCCTGAAGCCTGAACACTCCCCTGCTGCCCTGCAAGGGCTTCCTCGGGGTCCTGGGTGTCTGGTCACCCCAGGCCACTTTGGCCCAGAGCCCGCAATGTGGTCAGAGACGGGGGCTGAGGGGACGGCCTGGTGCAGCCCAGCCTCGGGGCCACAGCCTGTGAACACGCCCGACCCAGGGGCTCGGGGCGTCCTGACCTCACTGGGATTCTTGCTCCTGGCTGGCTGCGCTGTTTACACGTTGGACTCAGGGATCCGCCCATGCCTTTGCAAGGCTGGGCAGGGCTCGGTTGTGTGTTCCCGGCGCCCAGCCCAGTAGATGGACTCAGTCGGGATAGAAGCACATGTGCTCTGTGAGGATCTCCATGTGGATGGACTGGTCTCTGAAACACTGGGGGTAGATTGAGAGACTCCAGGCTTTTAGGTCCCAACTCCATTTTCTGCCCACTGAAAGTCATATTTCCCCCCTTTGGAAATCCTAATTCTGTTAGGTATAATGAAAAACGTCAGCAAAAAACTCAGCAAACCTTAAGAGAAGGGACAGTTGTCAGCCACAAGGCAGAGGAGGCAACTCCCAGCTCTTGTTCCCCGAGAGGAACATGCACACACACAGAGAACCAATCACAGCCTGCTTTCAATGATAGCAGCAGCAAAATCACAAGGAGAAATTTAAAAGCAGGAAAGTGGTCTACCCAAAGGAACAAAATTAGTTGATAGAAACCATCCCTGAAGAATTTCAGACATCAGAATGATTAGAAAGCACCTCTAAGAGAGTTATTTAAAAGTGCTAGGAGAGGACTGCTCTGGTGGTTTGGCAGCTGAGAGTCCACCTTCCATTGCAGGGGACATGCGCTCGACTCCTGGTCTGGGAGGCGCCGCCTTCTGAGCGTCAGCTAAGCCCACGTGCCACGGCTGTTGAAGCCTGTGTGCCCTAGAGCCAATGCTTTGCAACAAAGATGCCACCACGGAAGCCTGTGCACCGCAATGCAGAGCAGCCCCTGCTCCTCGCAACTGGAGAAAGCCCTCACACAGCAACGAAGACCTCGTGCCGTCCAAAATACATGATTTTATTTAAATGCTGAGAGAGCTCACGGAAAACATGCACATGGAAGTAAAGGAAATCCAAAAATAATACGGAGAATGAGAATACGGAAAAATCATGAGAAGAAAGCAAAGTCTCAGACTGAAAAGCACAATAACTAGAAGATTCACTCGGGGGTTCAACAGCAGACTGAAGCTGGCAGGGGAAAGAAGGGGTTGGAGTTGGTGCGCGACGAGAGGAGCTCATGTGAACCACAGAAAGCAGCACAGACCAGTGAGCAGGGACCAGAGCGCTCTGGGGCCCCATCCTGGTGGGTCCCACACGTGCCGTACGGTAGCTTCAGTGGGAAGAGAACAGGGGAAAATGAATAGTTGAAAAAATAGTTAAAATCTTACCAAATGTGATGAAAGATATGAATCTACAAATCCAAGAAGTTCAGTGAATTCTAAGAATCAAGTCAAAGAGACTTACACCAAGACACTTTAATAATCAAATTGTTGACAGAACCTTGAAGATAGCACAAGAGAAATGACTGTTATATACAAGCCATCTTCATATTAACAGATAATTTCTCATCAGAAAATGATAGAGATGGACTTCCCTGGTGGCCCAGTGGTTATGAATCTGACTTCCAATGCAGGGGACGTGGATTTGTTCCCTGGTCCAGGAGCTGAGATTCAGTAGCTGTAGGGGATCTGTGCACAACCAAACCTGCACACCTAAGACCCGCCAGAACCAAAAATAATTAATTTAAAATAGAAAACCATAGAAACCAGAAGGCAATGGCATATTTAAAGTGATGGGTGAATAAAGCTGTCAACCAGAATCCTATATCCAGCAAAATTGACCTTCAAGTGTGAAGAATTTAGGGCATCACTGATTCAATCGACATGAGTTTGAGCAAGCTCTGGGAGATGAGGAGGAACAGGGAAGCCCGGTGGACTTCAGTCTATGAGGTCACAGAGTCGGACATGACTGAGCTACTAAACAACAAAGGCATTCCCAGGCAAACAAGAGTGAGGAGTTTGTTGCCACCAGACCTGCCCCCAAGAACTACTCACGTGTCCCTTCAGACTTAAGTGAAAGGACATTACATAGTACCTCCCAAGCCACAGGGAGAAATAAAGATCTCTGATAAAGGCAAGACTGTGGGCAAGTATAAAAACCAGCATTGTATTTTTGGTTATGACTCCACTTTGTATTTACTATAGGATTTGAAAGACAAATGCATGAACAGCAATTACAGATTTATGTTATTGTGCACAAATGTGTGAATATATAATTTGCAACGACAACATAAAGCAGAAAGGATGGAATTGTTTTGAAGCATAGTGTATGTATGTGATTGAGTGAAGTTGTCTACTTAAGTACACTGTTATAAACTTAGGATGTTAAGTGTAATCTCCCTGGCAACCAAAGAAAATACCTGTGAGATACATACACAAGAGTCTCTAAGAAAGCTACTAGAGGTAATAAGTTCAGGAAAGTTGCAGGGTATTAGATCAACAGACAAAAAATCAGCTACGTTTCTATGCACCTGCAATGAACAATTCAAAAGGAAATTAAGGAAGCAATTTCACTTTAAATCGCATCTAAAAGAATAAAATAACTAAAAATCAATTTAACCAAGGGGGTGATTTAACTGTACATTGAAAACTGTAAAAATGGAAATTAAGACCTAAATAGGTGGAAAGATATCCTTTGTTCATGGGTAGAAAGCTTTTTTTTTTTTTTTTTTGGCTGCAACACTCAGCTTACAGGATCTTAGTTCCCCAGCCAGGGATCAAACCTGGCCCCAGAAGTGAGAGTGGAGAGTCTTAACCTCTGGACCACCGAGGAAGTCCCGGGAAGGCTTAATTTTAAGATGCCAGTACTACCCAAAGCGATCTGCAGGTTCAGTGCAATCCTTATCAACATTCCAACTTTTTTTTTGCAGAAGTTGAAATGTCAATACTCAAATTCATATGGGATTACAAGGGGCCCTGAATAGCCAAAATAATCTTGAAAAAAGAAGACACACATTTCCCAAGGTCAAGACTTCCTACAAAGGCACAGTATTCAAAACTGTGGTGTTTTCATAAGGCTAGGATAGACACCTGGATCACGGAAAACAAGAGCTATGCTGTTGTTCAATCACTAAGTCATGTCCAATCTTTGTGACCTCATGGACTGAAGCAACCAGGCTTCCCTGTCCATCCCTGCTCCTGGAGCTTGCTCAAACTCATGTCCATCAAGTCGGTGATGCCATCCAACCATGTCATCCTCTGTCATCCCCTTCTCCACCTCCTTCAATCTCTCCCAGCATCAGAGTCTTTTCCAGTGAGTCAATTCTTCTCATCAGGTGGCCAAAGTATTGGAGCTTTAGCTTTAGCATCAGCCTTCCAATGAATATTCAGGGTTGATTTCCTTTAGGATGGACTGGTTGGATCTCCTTGCTGTCCAAGGGACTTTCAAGAATCTTCTCCAACACCACAGTTTGAAAGCATCAATTCTTCGGCACTGAGCCTTCTTTATGGTCCAACTGTTACGTCCAGACATGACTACTGGAAAAACCATAGCTTTGACTAGACAGACCTTTGTTGGCAAAGTGATGTCTCTGCTTTTTAATACACTATCTAGTTTGTCATAGCTTTCCTTCCAAGGAGCAAGCGTCTTTTAATCTCATGGCTGCAGTCACCGTCAGCAGTGATTTTTGTCGTTGTTTTTGTTCAGTCCCTTAGTCGTTTCCGACTCTCTGCAACCCCATGGACTGCAGCACACCAGGCTTCCCTCCCTTTCTTCCACTGTCTCCTGAAGCTTGCTCAGACTCATGTCCATTAAGTTGGTGATGCCATCCAACCATCCCATCCTCTGTCGTCCCCTTCTCCTCCTGCCTTCAATTTTTCCCAGCATCAGGGTCTTTTCTAGTGAGTTGGCTCTTTGCAGCAGGTGGCCAAAGTGTTGGACTTTCAGCTTCACCATCAGTCCTTCCAATGAACACCCAGGACTGATCTCCTTTAGGATTAACCGGTTTGCTCTCCTTGTCTCCAAGGGACTCTCAGGAGCCCTCCAGCACCACAGTTCACAAGCATCCGTTCTTCAGTGCTCAGCCTTCTTTATGGTCCTACCCTCACATTTATACCTGACAACTGGAAAAACCACAGCTTTGACCAGACCTTTGTTAGCAAAGCAATGTGTCTGCTGTTTAATACGTTGTCTAGGTTTGTCATAGCGGTGATGTTGGAGTCCAAGAAAAGAAAGTCTGTCCCTGTTTCCATTTCCCCCCATCTGTTTGCTTGGCTGTCATCAAAATAACCTCTGCGCGCTGGAGGACACTGTCAGGAGTTCACAGGCCCCACGGGACAGACGGGAGAAGATAGTTTCCAACCACAAATCCAATAAGGGTTTAATAACCAAAATATACTTTTTAAAACCTCTAAAACTCAAGAACAAAAACTCTTGAAACTCAACAACAAACGAAAAAACTAAAAAAAAAAAAAAAACCCCCAAATTAAACAACAAAAAAATACAACAATGAATAAACGGTGGAAGCACTTTTTATGTTAAAAGGGCACATTATATGTATAATTTAATACATGCACACACACATCAACTTTGACACACCTGCGCGCGCCACTTGGGTCAGAGCTGAGAGCAGTGAGCCCTGCCTGGAGACGCCCCTCGCCTCTTCAGACGTTTCTCCAAAGACTCAAACATGCTCATAAAGTGCATGAAAAGGTGATGTCACTAGTCAGGAAAATGCCAATCAAAATCACAGTGAGAGACCACTCCCACTGCGGCAATGCTATCTCTAAACAAAACAAGTGTTGGAGAGGATGTGGAGAAATTGAAACTTTTGTGCACTGCTGGTTGGGATGTATAACGATGCAAATACTGTGGAAAGCAGAGTGGAGCTTCCTCGGAAGTGAACAGAATTACCACGTGGTCCTGCACTCCCACTTCCAGGCGTACCCGCCCCCAAACTGAAAGCAAGGTCTTGAAGAGATCATCGCACACCCGAATTCACAGCCGCGATTTAAACACAGGTGAGAGGTGGAAACAATCTGGTGTCCACTGATGGATCAATGGATATGACAATGCGGTCTGTCCATAAACGGAATATAATTGATATTTATCTGGAAAAAACGAAGGAAATCCTGACACAGGCTACAACATGGATGAGCGTTGAAGACTTGATGCTCAGTGAAAGCCAGATACAAAGATAAATTGTGTATGATTCTACTTGTATGAGGTCTCTAGAATAAGCAGACTCATAGAGACAGGACGACAGAGGTCATCCCGGGATTGGGGGGAGGGGGCTCAGTGGTAAAGAATCCACCTCCAGTGCAGGAGACACGGATTCGACCCCTGGGTCACAAAGATCCCTGGAGAAGAGAATGGCAGTCCACGGCAGTGTTCTCGCCTGGAGACCCCCATGGACAGAGGAGCCTGGCGGGCTGCTGCCCCTGGGGGTCTCAGAGTCAGACACGACTGGTGACTGAACCGTCAGCAGCCTGGGGGAGCTGCTGTTTAATAAGTGAGGAGTTTCTGTTTGGGAAGATGAAACAGTCTGAGAGTCAATGATGGTGGCTGCACAACAGTATGGATGAACTCACAGCTGATGTGTTTAAATGTGGTTGAAAGTGTATAATTTCACACACACAGATGAGCATGGCCTTAACTGCAGGTGCTGTGTGGGTCAGAGCTGAGCGCCCTGGGGCCTACTTTGGGAATCTCTGTGCATCCCAAGTGCCCACCTCTGGTTCCTGGTGGCTCTGAGGTCTGAAGGGGGCAGGGTAGGCTCTGGTAAGGGGCTGGGCCTGGCTCCCAGATCCAGGGGCTGTGGAGGGGGAATCAGGCCCCAGCTTTGTCCCCAGAGTCAGTGGCCCCGGGCAGTTGGGGAGAGGGATCTGGTCCCCCAGACGTACCTGCGTGCCCAAGACCACAAGTCGTGGCTGGAGTCTCAGAGGAATCAGATGCTCCTCTCTGGGACTTCCCGCTGCTACCCAGGCATGGAGGAGCTGCCTGGAGCATCTGCAGGGGGTATGCGGTGGGCCTGCGGTGGGTCGGGGCCCAGCCTCTTAGCTGACAGAGGAGGGGCTGCCGTCCATGGGAAGGGACTCCTCGGTGAAGAGGCAGGCCTCTCAACACAGGACAGGCGCCCCTAGATGCAGGGCCGGGAGCACAGGAACAGGCCCAAGGGGACGCGGGAGCAGGGCCACTTTGGCACGCAGAGATAAGAGGTGGGGGACACAGGGACGCAGGGCCGGGGGCAGAGGGGTGTGGGGACGCAGGGGCGGGACTCTCAACACAGGACAGGCGCCCCTAGATGCAGGGCCGGGAGCACAGGAACAGGCCCAAGGGGACGCGGGAGCAGGGCCACTTTGGCACGCAGAGTGGGAGCAGAGGGGTGCAGGGACGCAGGGGTAGGAGCAGAGGGGTGCGGGGACGCAGGGGTGGGAGCAGAGAGGCGTGGGGACGCAGGGGCGGGAGCAGACAGGCATGGGGACGCAGGGGCAGAGGGGCATGGGGACAGGGGTGGGGGCGCAGGGGTGCGAGGGACCCAAGGGTGTGTAGGGATGGGGACACAGGAAAGGGACTGGGGTGATTGTGCTGTGGCCCTGGGTGACCTCAGGGCGGCCACACCCACAGGGCGGAGTCACATGGTGGACTGTCATTGTCACCACACTGAGCCGCAGCCTGGGGCCTGGGGCTGTGAGGGGGGCCGGGCCGCCGGGCGGGGCACGCGGCTCCCTCCCGGCCCAGCCCCAGGCCGGCTGCTTTCCAGCGGGTCCAGCACCCGAGCCTAGGCAGACACCAGGGTCCCGTGGGCCAGGGACCGTCCTGGGAGTGGGGACGGGCGGCTCCCTCCCCTCTGCCGTTCGTGCGGGGCCACCCCCCACTCACCCGCTCCGGGCCGGCTCACGAGCTGCGTCCCCAGCAGGACTGCGGTCAGCACAGCCCCGCCTGAGACCTAGCAGGCTACCTGCTCAGCCTGCCTGGCCCCTCCAGGCCCTGGACTGGCACCAGGGCAGTGGGGGCCCTTCTGTCCTCTGGGTACCGGGCGCCAGAGAGGGGCTGGCCTGAGGGGGAGGGAGAGGGTCCTGGGTTCCTGCGCGGCGTCTCCTGTGTGGGCTCTGAGGCCCGGCCCATGCCCTCTGCCCGCCACGAGGCCCTCGAGGTCTCTCAGGCGCTGGGCTCCCTACCCAGGGCCGCCGACCCCACCCCTCACCCCAGGGCTGAGAGCTGTCCTCCCGCCGGCCCATCTTCCAAAGTCTCCCTTCCTCCCCCTCAAGGGCAGGCCTTCCCCAGCCTGGCTCTGGAGACTGGCCGGGCCGGGAGGAGGCCGGGAGGCCGGGCGGCAGGGAGGTCCCCTCCCAGCCACACGCGCGTGGCATGGCGCCCGAGCTCGCAGCGGCCGTGGAGGACGGGAGGCTGGGCAGGCACACCCCTGCCCCAGCACGGACCTTGCAGCCCTCAACCCACTCCCCTGCCCCCACGGTGACTGTCTCCACGGTGACGCAGACGGAAGGGCGGGTACGCTGCTCACAGCCCCGCCCGAGCCGTCACGTGAGGGGTTCCCGCTGGTCATGTGACCCCAACCGCCTGACCCGAAGCTGTGGGGCAAGGTGAACATGAGCCCCCATCCCTGGCCGACCCTGCCCTGGGCCCTGGTCCTGCTGCTGGGACTGCAGCTGCGAGGCCTGGAGGCCAGGGGTGAGTGTGGCCCAACGCCCCCACCCCGCCGGGCCCCCTCCCATCCCCCTCGA